AGTTGAAGCCGTCTTGAAAACATTTCAGCGATTCGGGCAAGTTTTGATAAACCGAGAACACGACGATTTGGAATGTAACCTATACTGATCTGTTTTTTAAAGATTATGAGACATGTTTTATCTCGAGTTCAGCATAGACAGTAATATGATTAAGATTCTTGCCTTTCCAGTAAACGGGACTAAATGATGTTCACATAAAGAAAATACATCTATATTTTTAACAATCACCATTTCATCATGATCTATTTAAAAATGTTTATGATTAACATACATACAATATGCAATTTATATGCATCTAAAAAAACATACCTTCTTCGAAAATTGCACCATTAATGAGCTCTAACAATATTTGTTAAATCGAAGATCAATAAATAAATTCTAGAAATAATACAGATAAATTATACCAATTAGATTGCATACGTTCAATACTCTCTTCATAACCTTTAGAAAAGAATAATAATGCTTGAGCATATCTATCGGGTGTTCTCAGCAAACCTTGCCGTTTAGGATCCTCACCGATACATTCTATAATTGTTTTAATGGCTTCAGAAAGTTTTTTTGTACGCTCGTCTTTTTGTTCTTGACTCTCATTGAGCCGTTGCTTTGTTCCTATGCCTATTATTAAATGAGTATTATATAAACGTGTTTCTGGTTAAAATAAATAAAATAAATAAATGAAAATACCAACTCGGCCAACTTAGACCGTCTACGTCGATAGGATCCATTAAATTAATTAATTATATAAAAAAAAAAATTGAAAAAAAAAAACCACTGATTATGTCATTATATTGATAATTTTGATACCACGTGAGGACCGGGCAGAAGAACTCTACTGGTCAACAGAAGAACTATTGCCACGTACTTCGCAGTGCCTTGGTTTCAGTTATTATTAACAATTCATTTCTATTACACAGCCTCCCTAATAATAGTTCCCAACACTCTAATTTTGGAGAATGCCGTATTAAATATTACATAATAAAGATCTACTAACAAATTATTCCGATGACTTGAATTGCGTTCGGAAATTTCACAATTTTGGAATATGTAAACAATTTTATGTGGATATCTGACATCACATCTGCAGGTAGAAAATAAGTTTACTATTTATTCCCCGAGTCGCATAAGTGCGCCGCTGGGGGAATGTTTCGATTAGTTCCCGACCGGTGAAATAAATGAGTTATTCACCGTTTCATATGACGACAGAGACTCGTGTTATTAATCATTTTTATCTTCATTTACATTTTTAAAGTTTTCGGCAAATAACTATTATTATTTATTATTTCAATTATTTCTTAATTGATATAAGCCAAAACTAACCTGATCAGCAAATTATTGAATTTAAATTTGCTTTCCAGTAAAACGTTAGGGAATAATTAGTAACAATATGTATATTAGGGTTGTTATCCTGCTTATCTAACTCTGTTCGCCCCTGTTTGAAACCCGGACCAGTTAAACACGAGTTTTTTAATCACATGAATTTAAATGATGTAAAATGAAACTCCTTGTGCTCGAGTCGAGTTCAAAAATCGACCTTACGAGCAAAAAGCTTCGCGATCTGTATTCCAACAAAAGCAGAGTTTGAAATCCAGTTTATGCGTGTGTTTCTGGAACAGTGTTCGAGCGGGTTTCGAAGCACAAACTAACCAGTTTAAGCAGGATAACATCCCTAATGTATATGTATATGTTAGTATTGGGGTAAAAAAAATAGTAATTATTTCTTAAGTGGAAAAGGTATGACAGCTACATGCTATATAATAAAAATTTAAAATATGGGGGCCCACAGCAAAAGGTGGTTTCGGGACAGCCAATCATATTTTGAGATTTTACAGTAATTACCTGCCTAATAGTCTTATTTTTATAAAAATAGTTTTTTTTTTCTCAATTATATAATAAATAATTTGTTTATGGTAACGGTAACTACTTTTGACATTATTGTTATCGTAATGATAATAATTAAGATTAGCAATTCGATAGCATATTTGAGGCATTTTACGTAGCTTGTTATAATCAGGATTTAGTTAGTAATAGATGCGAATGGCTTTATTAATAATATTCTTTGCTATTTTACGCTATAACGATAAACCAGTATTACTACGTAATAGGAATGACATTCTATTCATTCTATTAAACTGGAATTCGATCCGGGTGAATGATGCTTAATTGATTTATAGAAAAAGGTTGTTGGCGTTAAAATTAATTCTAATCTTTAGTCGATCTTGTCACAGTAGTGCTTGGATCCGTTGAAACAATTCATCGGATTATCCAATGGATATCCGACTATTTTAATCCGGTGGATATTTATCCGTTATCCGTTGGATCTAGGGTGCGGGAAAAAAAGCCCGATCGATTTCGGAATTTTTAAAGGCTGTAAAAATAGTGTTCCACAATTAATACCTAGGCCGAAATTACGTATGCAATTAGTATGATAA